AAACTTCATTTGCAAATAGGATGACAACAAACAACGTGCATGACCCATCTACACTTCCACCTCAAGTATGTTCGCACCTTCTTTAAGGGCTTGTTTTTTTCCGCAAATCTGTGGACCCTTGGCACAGGAAAAACCCTTCACACCTGCATACTCTTCTTGTTACCTTGCGGCTCCTCCACATCAAAGGCAATCCTGTGTGGCAAGATGAGTGTGGAGAAGTGGGTCCCACTGCGGTCGCCTTTCGGTCGACATGCGGTGAAGAAGCCTAACTTGCGGACACAGGACCTGTTGCCCAAGAAGCAACAGTGCTGGGCAGTGCTGGGGCAACATCAACAACGACGATTCCTTTTCTTGTTGCTATATTTGCTCATCCTGTTCCTGTTCCTGCTGGCATTGTGGTTCTGGTGTTGTGATTGCGGTTGGTTGGTGGTTTGTCTTGGTTGTTGCGTCCGTTGTTTGTTTCTGGTTTCTTGATTCTTTATGATCTAGAATCAAAAGCAGCCCGAATCTTGGGAAGATTGTACATGCACCGTCAGTCCTGTCGCCGCGACGCAAGCCCCGCGTCTTGGCATCATAGCGGGCGTTGGTGTCAGCAATGTACTCTGCATGGGTGAAAAGGTCTTGGCCTCAAATGCTGATGCACTTGGCCGCCCAAAGAGATAGCCTGTAGATATAGACTACCAGTACCTGCAGGATGGCCCGGATCAGTCGATCCATGGTTTGAAGACGACAAATTCTGACATAAGGAGCGAACACCTCCAAAAACAACGGTTTGCCAATGTCCTTGGGGTGCAAACGTGACTTTTAAGCAGGGCGGAGCATTGGCTGCAAAAGCCATTTCCAAGAGCCCTTGTCCCCAAACGGTTGACATCATGGCGACGAAGACTACGAAAACGGATGGCAATGCTTGAAACGTCGGACTTTCTTGGGCCGTGTCATCAACAACCGCAACATCCTATGATCACAACTATTCATTGCTAACATATGCTAACATGGTATCACAAGCTTGATACTTCTTGATATTGGACAGATCGAAACACAAATACTTCCTCATCCCAGAGCTTCTCTGCCGAGGTGCGTCCGCTATCACAGGAAACCTCAAAAAAAGGAGGCGGGGATGCTATCCCAAAGGATCTCAGAGACCCCGAAGCGGCTCCATCTACGAAAAGGGATCGAGCTACTGTAGGCATATTTTGATATGGAGTTCTCAAGAAAGACACATTTGGTTCAGTGAAGCGAAAAAAGTTGAAGCATGGGCCAGCGGCCAGCATCTGCTTCACACACAGATCTGTTACCTGTTACAGCTCTTGTGAGGATGACATGTCTCCCAGGAAATGACGACTCTTGTGACCCCCCACCCTCAGTGCTCAGAACTAGGTCATGGTGACCTGTGCTGTCTATTTACTAGGTGTCTACACTTCATCTGCTTCTTCGACAAAGCTGCTCCGTTCTGGCTGAGTCACAAAGCCAAATTGCCTCTCTGTATTCCAAGTGTTGATGGTACCTTTCTCACCTCAGCGGTGTTTGTGGAGTCGTCTGAAAGGGCTCGAGCAATCTGGATTGAATTTTCTCTGCGAACCATTGCTAGCCTAGCTATACAGTAGATGAAAGTGATGTCTACAGTTTCTTTTTAATGTTTTTTCCTTGCGCAATGGTTGGTTGGCTTCCTCACAGAAACAGGAGTTCATTGAGTAAATGTGAGCAGCAACTGCAGCCACAAACCTGCAGCCCTCCTGTCAAGAAATCGTGGCAAAACCCTCCCACATACTCCTAGATTGGGGCACCACATTTTTGCCTGTTGCGGAGGCCATCGCTAGTAGGTTGTAGCAATTTCCACCAAACACTCTGGGCCGCCCAGCGTTTGCTGTTTCCGCCGCCACCGCCACCGCCACCACCACCGCCGCTTTGGTTGTCCCGGCTGCGACTTGCGCTGCGTCCCATGGTCTCAATCCTGAGCCAGAATGAACCACAGTTCGACTACATTCATGCCGAAAGTCAATTTTGCTTGCATATATACACATATAAAATATATATTTATATAATATAATATATATATATATTAGTGAGATTATAATTCTGCATTGACACAACATCGACTCCAGGCTGCAGCACTTGAAGGCTGGTTAGGATGTACATGACACTTGGGCAACACATGAGGCCACCCTAACGTGCAGCCATGTGACTGTGTCTCAAAACTTTTCAAGGCGGCGAAGCCAAGCCGCCGGGCGAAGGAAAGGCTAAACCCTTTGTTACAATCTGACACGATTTGTCAAGATGGATTGGATTCCATTGACATGTGGTTGCTTTTGCTCTAATCTTTACAAACTCTGAGTTTCTTGTTGATTCTGTGCCTTTGCTCAGCTTTTTTTTGCCGGTGTCATTTGGGACAAAACTCGCTTGCCTCGGCTCCCCTTGGCCCAAGAAGTGGCGAGGAAGCGGCAAACATGGGTGAGCGAAAGACGTCTTGTGGGGGATGAGAAACACCCATTGCTACTAGTAGCTTCTTCACTGTTACTAGTAGTAATGGCCTCCAATCTAATAGCGATGGCCTCCACCTAGTAGCTTCTAGCTACTAGGTCTTGGACAGTTGTTTAAACTGTTTGGGGGCAACGAACTATCCAATAGATCCGAATAACATACCCACCAAATCATCTGAAAACACGTGCAAGGGACCCGACAGTTGCTGAATCCATAAGTCGATTGATTTTGCTATATATCTTGGAGCTCATCAAGAGACCGGAAGACAGGAAAAAACCATCATTCTGCCGCTGAAACCATTTCTTTCGGCTTCTCTTGGGAAACTGTCATCAAAGCACTCTTTTGTCCCTGTGGGAACACTTCGTTGTCTTCTGTGGGACCATCCATCGAATCGAAACAGTCGCAGCCCCTTCCCACCTGGCTTTAGCGCCCTCAAGGCATCAGGCTCAAAGGTGGCGTCCTTCCACTTCGGGGACTACACTGGTCCAATCGTTGCTATTTCGTACCACAATGCTTGGAACATCGTAGGCCCAGCCTGCGATGTTGCGCATGCCTGTATGGAATCCTGCCTTGTGCCACGTCCAGGTCAAAATACTGACCATGGCATCAAGAGCAAGAGGGAGGACCTACACATATAATAACATACATGACATAGCATGCAAGGTATGCGTTTATAGCATACAATATGCAAATATATGCAGGGAGTGCGTCCGACAGAACCAAGGACCAACACTTGTGTTGAAGGACCTGTAATAGTGGGGCAATGTGAACTCAACATGACTGGACATGAACGGGGCTTCTGGAAGTGACAATCTCCAATCCCTGTGTGTGACCACCACATCAGTGGTGGTGATCCCACGATGTCCTGGTTTGACAGAACTTGACAGAATTTGCAGTCTTGCATATTGTATAATATGATGCCAGCATAGACCCCAAACAGTTTCATTTTTTGCGCCAACTCCTTGAATTCCACTGTTGGTGGTAATGTGGGTGATTATATAATCCCCGCAGCCTCCAGTTGTTTGGGAACGGCATGTAGGCAAACATGTGTGAAAGCACTTGAAAGCAATAGTTCCTGATTCACGGGTTACATGTACAAACACGGGGTAGTTTACGCCATGAGAAATCCAAGGAGGATACCAAAATCGAAGCGCTGTATCACTGTTGCATTCATAGCCACACGAAAACATACCCGGACGAGGCGGTGGAGAAAGGGAAAGCGGGACAAGGCTCGGACAAGGCGGTGAAAATAACGGGCCCACAACACAAACAAGAAGGACAAGCAAACCCGGACAAGGTCTACAAGGTGGAGAAGAAAACAGGACACGAGGAGGACAAAGGACGAACACAACGTTCCCAACCAAGGACACAGGGTTCAGGGGCGCGGCCAGAAACTGTGGCCAGGCGGCCAAAGCCTTTTTTGCTATGATAGAACCTCAACAGTAAACTGTTTGGGGAATGAATATGATATTCCAGAGGCCCTTCTTTTTTGCCAGTCAATCGAGGCCTCCAGCTTGAAGCCCCGCATGGGCAAAAGCTCAATCCCTTGAGGGACGATGGACTCTGGATGGAGGTACAAACCTGGCTGTCTCGATGCCGGGAGTGGCCCAACCCTAGTAAGAGGTGCATGGAAGTAGGCAGAAACAGTCCTGTGGCGATCTCTGTTGATCTATGCGTCAACGAGTCACAAAACAACTGCCAAAAAGCATGCACACTTTTCCCAATTGCCTGACCAACTGAGTGAATTGACTGGAAAAAGACAGTCTCAGTCCATCATGCCCTCCATGCCCTCCATATGGGTCTGTTGACCACGTTGCGGCCACCTGCCAGACTCTGCAGCGCTAAGCGGCGATCCCCAAGCTCATCTGCGCGAGGAGCGGTTGCCGACGCCGAGCCCCTGTGGCTATTGGTCAACTCAGTGACCTTAGTAGTAAGCCTAGGAGCCCCTAGTAGCGTTCTTGTTCCTAGTAGCGATGCCAGGAGCCCCTAGTAGCGTCCTTGCTCCTAGTAGTAAGGCCAGGAGCCCCAAATTGGAGCTGACCTTGTCAAGAAAGATTGGAATCCTCTGTGAATCATCTTGAGAGATTGCTTTCGACTTGGAAGGCAGCGAAGATACGTTTGTAGGCAGTTCACCGCCTCAGAATCTTCGAACGCATTTTCAAAGAAAGGCACCTTTTCCCGAACGGCTGGACATGCTGAGACTGCAATCTGGTCGTTTCGACTATGTACAAATCTGGAAGGCTCAGTGAGCCAAACGCAGCCTCAGGATGCTACAGGAACCGTTATATCTCAGCTCTGTGTTGCTGAGGACAAGAAACTTTATAAATCCAACAGCAACAAATCATCTTCATTCACCTTCTATCTTGGCATTCACGGACATCTACACAGCATCGTTGTGCATATAATATATACTCTCTCACAGTTTCCCGATGTTTCCCGTTGGCCAACTTTGCAGGCTGAGAACCGGGAAACGGTAGGTATCGAATGAGCATACCAGAGGTAAGGTCGACACTTTGGCCCGCTCATTCATCTTTGGCCTGGCAGTCCAATGGACAGCCTAGCAGGCCTAACACTATCAAAGCTTGTTCAGTTCCCACAAACTATTCAAGCAGCAAATCCATCAACGAGTGTGAAATCACTGGACATCGTCCAAAACAATTCAAACACGTCCAACACCACCACTGGACCATACACTGCGCGCCAATCCAACTTTTTTAGGGGTTGGAACATATCGGGTCCGCCTTGCCTGGGTCCGAGGCAGAATGAGTGGCACCAAATGCCTGGGCTTGCCAAAGGAGTTTCATTATTCCCCAAGCAGTTTACTGTTAGGGGTTCTCAATTCTTTCTAAAGATGTGTCCGCCCTTTGTGTCACTGCTGGTGTCCACCCTTTTCCGCTGGCCATGTAGCATTTCTATGCATTTGTCTCCCAGGTCCGTCGCTGCTGGCCGCCCTTTTCCGTTGGCCATGTAGCACTTCTAGTCATTTGTCTCCCAGGTCTGTCACTGGTGGTGTCCGCCCTTTTCCGCTGGCCATGTAGCA